TGAAGTTGTTAAGACACAAACCTCTAAAAAAAAAAAAAAGAAAAAAAAATAGTGCAGGAATAATGAATAGTGGATACAATAAAGATAGAAATAGAGTGCTGAGGTAGAAGAGGGTATCTTCCTCAGTGTGGGACAGATGTGAGGTGTGGGGGTGGCATTTTAGATTGGAGAAGTCTTCAACTGTGTTTGATTGTGTTATTGAATCCAAAGAAAGGTCTATACTGAAGGAATAGACAAAAGAGGAGACAAAAGAGGAAGGGACTGATACAGTTGTCAGGCATCTGAAGATTTGGAAGAGGAGTGGGGTGAGACAACTCCATAGGCATCCCTGTATGCATATCTTTATCCTCTACTTCTTTTTCTTTCTTTCTCCAGCATCTGTGTTTCTAAGTCAGGTGTGCTTCAAAAGCTGTACTGCCTTTGGGTGCCAGCAGTTAGCATAATGGCTATGTCGCTGGACTCCCATGTAGCCGACTGTGGTTCGAGTCCTGGACCTGGTGGCTTAAACTCACGCCGGGCGCGTGTGCGTGCATGCCCAAGATCCTGAGAGGAGAATGGAGGAGAAGGGATTGTGGTGTGGCCATCCCCCCTGGAGGGTGATTTTTCGTTTTCTGTCTCTCTGTCTCTCTCTCTCTCTGTCTGGCGAGCACACATGCCCTGTAGCAAAACCTCTCAAAAAAAAAAAAAAGTTGTGCTGCCTTTTTCATGGATACCACAATCAGGTCATAAATTCCTTCCCCATCTAAGAAACTAAATCCCCTAGTCTGACTATGTGTGTTCCATCTTCACCTTCTCTTAGGTCCTATAACAGGAAACAACCTTTATATCTCTGAGAAATGATGTAATATTGCTGGGATTTTGTGTCTTTCTATATCATTCCCTTTTTGTTTTGTTGTTGTTTTTTTTTTCCCCTAAGAGTTGTTCGATGTTTAAGTGTGTAGAGTCAGGAAAAGGAAAGGTTTTCTTTGGAGTAAGATTCATCTCCAAGAACAAGTACCACATTGAAATGGGCCCCATGGTCATTAAGATAGTTAACTAGAATACTTAGGCTTCATGGCTTATAAAATAAATCTAAGATAGAGTTTCTCAAGATGCTCTGTGTTTCCAAACACAAATTAACTCAAGTTATTATTACATTGCAAACCAAATCCAAATGAGAAAAATAACCTCTGCTGGACCACATTGAAGACAGACATTGTTACTCCTAAATTCAACTTTTTATAAAACATTGTCGATCATTGTCAAAACAAAACAAAACAAACAAAAAACTGGAGTATGCAGTAGTTTAGTAAGTATTTTTTTAAATTATCAAATATTTTAAAAGTTTATTTTATCTTAAGTGAGAGAGACATAAAGAGAGAGAGAAAGTACCCTCCAACAGGATTTTTGTGCCATGATCCACACCCAGCTTCAACTAGCCCTGGACTGTGGGCACACATGTGCCCAGCATACTCAGGAAGGTTTCTAGGTTGAACCCAAACCTTCCCATGTGAGTCAGCCTTGCAGAGGTTGGATTTCACTGTGGCACCATTGTTTGGCCACCTAAAATTACCAAATATTATTACTTACTTTAGAACATTTTTTTTAAGTTTAATTCTTAACTATAATCTTTCAGTATAATTGATTCCTGAAAAAAATGTATACTGTCTACATCTGGTAACATATCTTCCAAACGTGACTATTTTGAATATTCAAAAAGATAGAAACTCTTAGCAGAGAACTTCTGATGATTGGCCTTAGTAACAATTCAGTGGTAATGAGTTGAAGAGTATGTCATCATCCTCTGGGTCAGTTATCTGTTACAGCAATAATATTAAGTAGTCAACACCACAATACCTCAGTGGTATTTGATAAATATTTCTTTTTGCTACCAAGTCTACAGAATAACCGAAAACTTCTGCTGATCTTGGCAAACTTTATTTGCAGTTTTTTGGGTCTTGGCTAGAGTTTACTCATGTATCTAAAGTCTGTCTCTAGTGACTGATCTTGGATAGGATACCTCAGCTCTGTTCCACATGGTCGTGGATCTTTCAGTAGGCTAGCCTGGGCTTTGTGGTAGTGGTACAGTTCCTAAAGGGAGTTCATGGACGCGAACTGCGGTCAACTACATGGGAGTCCAGTGACATAGCCATTACGCTAACTGCTGGTCCCTGAGAGTTCATGAAAACAGAGAAGGCCTCCTGAGACTTGGGATTGGAACTGGTATATAGCACATCATCACCTGCTTTGAGCTAATATAAGTCCTGAACTCAGCCCATCTTGAAGGGATGGGGAAATAGACTCTTGATAGGAATAAGCTGCAGAATCACATTTAAAAGAGCATGGATAGAAATTAGGATAGAGGGGGTCGGCAGGTGGCATAGTGGTTATGGCGTTGTATTCCCACATGGCTGACCACGGTTTGAGTCCTGAACTTAGCAGCTTGCTTTCTTGCTTTCTCTCTGTCTTTCTCTCTCTGTTGCTCTGTGGTCAAATTGAAAAAAAAAAATGATGATGAATAAAATTTAAAATAATTATTTAAAAAGAAGAAATTAAGATAAAAGGGCTGAACAGTTATACAATGGTAAAACATGACATTCTATGGGACTGACTCACATGAGGAGGTTCTGGGTTTGTGTCTGGAGACTTCCTTGAGTATTCCAGGTATGTGTGTGCCCATGATCTGGAGCTGGCTGAGACTGGGGGTACATTGTTGTGTCAAGACCCTATTGGAGTCCTCTCTCTCTCTCTCTCTCTTTCCTTCTCTCCCTCTATCTCTCTCACCCATGAAATAAATAAATAAGTATTGTGTGGTCAGGTATGTCATGATGTATTTTTGCATAGAAAAATATAAATACATCATGACTTTCCCAATGACCTAGTAGCTAGCTAGCTAGCTAAATTTAAAAAGATGTTGGGATAGATGGATTGAAAATCTAACTACCACATTCCTTTTCATCTTTTTCCACTTGATTTTCTGTATTTCTGTTCTTGGGCTGATTGTTTCATGGGCAATCTAGCAAGAATGGACCCTGGGCCTTAGTACCTACTAAAATGGTCAATGAAGGCAATCTGTTATATAGAAATGTCTCTCTGAAAGAGAAGCCCTTTGGGTATTTCTGCCTATGGTTTGTCATTTAACTTTATCTACTTTGTTGCCAAGAAAAAAAGAAAGTCATGTCAGGAAATTTATTTTTTCTGGGAAGAGAGAAAGAAATCAATTCCAGCTAAGTAAAATATTCTGAAGTGTTTAACAGGGGAGAAATTGAATGCTGCAGTTTAATTTTTTTGTAGATCCTGAATAACAGCAGATGTTTGAATTACATACAGTGCATTAGTATGAGTTCAGTCCTATTTGTAAAAATATAAGATTGGACCAAAATTTTAGACCTAGACCTACAGAACATGAGAATACCTTAACTGACCACTATTACTGTGCTTCTCCC